ATATATATATATATATATATATATATATATATAGAAGAAAATATAATTTGATTTCTTTCTGAAAACAAAATTTTAGAAATCTATTCTATCGATTGCAGTCGTTGTTTTATTGAAAAATATCTGTATTCAAATATATTTGCAAGAATTTTTATTATACGCATTTTCTCGCTTCTGACATTATAATTTGAGATAGTAGTGATGAATAAACAAGAGCCATAAGACACATATTTCGGTGATTGCAGATTTTCGAAAATTATTGACATTTGTCTTAGATCCATATATGTATATGTACAATATTTAATCTAAAAGTACTAAAAACATTTCATAATATCTATTAAGAGTGTTTTGAAATCTCAAAATATTATTTAATTTCATATTTTTTCAGTTTATTATAATTTGTTTTTACAAGTATGTAATCAATATTCGCACAAAAAATTTAGCGCGCGCGCGCATGTGTGTATGTATAAACAACATTTCAAATTATCATGTGATACAACTGGAGTTTTTTTTAAACATCTCAAACCAAGTGTACGTGATTGCGTGTAAAAAGATATGGTCACCCTCCATCTTTCTTATGTACGCCTCCTACAAGTTTGCCGGTAAACAGTAATGTTATTCTATTTTTTTCAATACATGCTAATTGCCCGCGTGATATCAAACGTATATATTTGCGTTTTTCATCATCAAGTATTACTCTGTTATGACTAGTGGATAGCATCTTCATCCGCGTCATTCCTCTGCGGCGCGTAATTCCCACTTACGTTGTCCTTAACGGCGCGCCGCGCGTCGTACAATGATAAGCTGTTTTTTATTTGGTCGCGTGCACGCGATTACGCAAAAGTAGCGAGATCTCAGTCGGGATCGATCGAGTCTTAATAACGTGGCCTGTGTCACGTTCAAGTTCTGACGATACGTGTCGATTTGTATAGTCAGGGCCTAAAAAGTGTTGCAATTTTTTAGATCCTGACTATACATAACAAAAAGTACATATATTTAATAAGTACAAAAAATTATTATGGTGGAAATATCCACCATGATATACTTCCACCATGATTATGATGTGCTCAGGATTGTTAGCGTTACATAAAAAAGTAACGAAGTTACTGATCTTGTTACTTATTTTAGTAACGAATGAATAACGAAGGTACTTTTCCTAGTGAGTAACAGTAACGCTAACTAAATCATAATTTTCAGGAACTGATAATAAAATTTTATGTTACTTTTTTCATTATTCCGATTGATATAGGATGCGGTCAAGTTGCCGATACCAATGCTTCAAAGCATATTTTGGTAAATTAGTAAAATTCTATCTTCCGATTGATTAATCAAATGCTTCGAAGCATTCGTAGTGGCAACTCGACCACACCCGTAGAGTTATTTTAATAAGGACGTGTTCACACCTTGATGGAAAAGCAGAAAGCGGAAAAGCAGTGGCCAATCAGAATTCGCGCTGGTAGTAAGTAGTGCAAAAAACCGAAATTGTCGACACTATCTAACAGACGAACATATTTTGGACAACAATTACCTATTATTAAACAAAAATTCAAGATTCAACGCGATACAAATAAAAATATATATAAAATATAAATAAGAGTTAGATAAGGTTAATGAGAGTCATACGCTGTTATAAGAGTGGAGAAATAGAAGAAGCAGATAAGACTCCAAAAGGAGTTGAAACGTTCGAAATAAATTGAAGATAACCAGCAACACCTGAAGATTTTCTGCTTCTCGTATCTTTCCGCTCTTACAACAGAATATGACTCACATTAGGCTTATCTAACTCTTATTTATATTTTATTGTGTATTTAAGATTGACAGTCCTTATTTATATTTTATATTTATATATATTTATTTTAATTGTGTTAAAATATGTATTATAATAAAATGTAAATTAAAAAACAAATTTGTTCTTATGTAGTTATTTAAATTTACATAAATGCAATCATTTTTTTTAAATAACGAAAAAAGTAACGATTTTGCTGTTAAGTAACAATAACGCATTATTTTTTAGAATCAGTAATAAGTAACGAGTAACGAATTACTTTTTGCCGCAAATAACAGTAATTGTAACGCATTACTAAAAAAACGGTAACTTTAATAACCCTAGATATGCTGGACAGCGACTACGACGGCAATGAATTAATTCTCGAGCTCGTCGAGAATTAATCGAATGTCGTAACATTGTCGGCTGTGGTGATAAACCTGAAGCAATGTTAATAATAAGTTTGTCGCGAGGATTTACGAGGGGCCAGACAGATTTATGATTTTTAACGACACGCCTTCTGCAAATTGGTCAAAATATCCCTGGCGATATCTTATAGCAGAAGAGGCGTATATATAGATAAGATCAAAGCGGGATTGTTATTTCTTTTTTTGCAAGCTCATTGAAATCTTTTTAAACTTTATTTTCGTCTGACGTGAGCATAATCACTAGTGATATGTACTCTTGCAACATTTCCTATATTTTGTCTTGTCATATTTTTTTCCAAGGAATACTGATAGCTTGAGGAAAGATACCCAAATGTCAGAAATAGTATTCTTGTGATACGAATAAAATATCGTTAACGTCTTTTATTAGATTTTGTGAATAATCTAAATTATTCGCGTCCCCCTATTTTTTCTACAATAAATATTAATAAATTAACGATTTTACTTCTTCATTACTCCAAAAAAATTATCGTTTAATTTACAATCGATCGCTGCACTTTCATGTCACAGAGGGAAAGAAGTAAATTACGGAAGATGATAAAACGCCATAGTAGAATTATGATTTAATTATCCTAATAAATGTACATTTGTAACAAGTGACATTTACGACTCGTTGAGCCCTGCGAACTTGCTTGCGCATTATGATAAATACAAAAATCGCAAATCGGAATAATCCTTTTTCGAGCGGTATTTGTACTCTTCCCCATCCTTAGCACTATCCATTAGCCCGACTATCAAAGATTATCAACAGTTACACTCTTGTAATTATCTAAGCTGGGGCTATCGTGTTTCCAGGACACGACTCTATCGCTGGAGTTTTTGAGCGAATGACTGCATCGTCTTCCGTGGCATATATCGACTTCGACTCCTGCTTCTCCTGTTCGCTCTGCCATTGTACCTGTAATACAAAAAGATATAAATTTCTCGTAGATTCCATATAAAAAATTATACAAATATATATAATAAATATATTTAAAATATATATATCTAAAAAATGTAATTATATCTGTTAAATATTTTTAGGTAATTTTTGTGCTCTCAAAATTAAATATTAAAGCACCTTCTGCTTATGCTGTTTAATGGCTTCGAGACACCTGTCCATAACCATTTTTTCTGTTAAAACACCATCCTCCGAGGCATAAGCTGCCGCTTGCCAGGTGACTCCGAGTTTCGCCAACTCTCGACCAGACATTCCCTCTGTCAGATCGGCCATTTTACTGCACAGCGAACTGTAGTCAAACTGCGCAATTTTCAATCTTTTGTTACCCTCGATCGCCGGTTGGAGAACAAATTTGTCAAAATAGAGGCGGACCAAACGCTCGCGCTCCTCACGACCCGGAAGACGGAACTCCACCATCTCGTCCAGTCGATCATTCACCGCCCAATCAAACTGTTCCGGTGTATTTGATGCTAGCACCAGCATAAATTTATTGCTCTGTTCACCGGTTCTGTATAAAAATGCGTTCAACATTGCTCGAAGATCTTCCGAAATGTGCTCGCTCGAGCGTTTTCTCAGGAACGCATCCGCCTCATCGATGAACAACAGCAATCCCTTGCGAGATGTCAATGCCCAATCAAACACCTTGTGAATGGCAGTTACGCCGTCTCTTCCCAATGGCGCCAGATCACCACCCGTCACGATTGCATAGTCCATGCCCGAGTGTTCTGCCAGCTTCTTCGCAAACATTGTCTTGCCGGTACCCGGTGGACCATGCATCAGTATGTTCCTGTACATGCCGCGATTATATTTTGTGTTCTTCGTGGCTATCGCAACATCACGTAATCTCTCCTCGAGCTTTGGTGCCAGGATCACGCCGGATAGTGCGTCAGTCTGTTTGCTCTTTAGCTTTTTAACCGCTTGAATGGGATGCCGAACGGTATCGAGGAATGTAAATCTCGAAGTCTCCCGCACCAACGATGGTTTTCCTAAACGAGACTCGATGTAACGCGTTGCCACGCTAGTCGAGCCCTTGGCAGTGTATATTCCGAAGGCTACGAGAGACAGGCCACCTGCTGCCGCAAGAATCTTGTCCCAATCTTCCAGTAAAGCTTTGGCACCCGAGCCTAATACTGAGCCAGCTGTTCTGGAAAATATAATAACTATGAAATTAAAAATATAAAACTATATAATAAAACAGACACACATGAATAATAAAATAACAATTGCTTACTTTATCGACTCTAAAACAGTAATTCTCTTTTCCGAAGCTTTTAATCTAATTTGTTCTAAATTGAGATCCTGGTTTTCTCTGTCAACCTTCGCTTTGGCTTTCAATTCCGCCTCCAATTTTCTCATCTCGTTCTTATGCCTCAATTCCATCTCGTGCTCTATCGTAGCTTTTCTCATGGCTTCTTGCTTGGCTACCGATTCCTCTTGTCTTCTCAGATTCTCGTCGTTCATCTTTTGTTGCTGCATCAATTGCTCTTCATAGCGCTTTCTAGCCAATTGGTCTTGATATTGTGCTCTCATTTGGTGCTGCTTTGTCTCTTCCTGTATTGTCTTTCTTCTTTCGTCACCCTCCACTCGTTTTTGTTCTGTTTTAAGTTGTTCAATGCTAGCTTCGTATTTCTTCAATTCGGTTTGAAATTCCACCTGTTTCGTGGTTTCCTGCATCTTGGATAAATCCAAAGCTTCTTTCGCATGCTCTGTGTTAAAATAAAACTATATTTATTAGTCTATAGATAAAAAAACCTCTTCAATATTTTAAAGAAATAAGATATTTTCCATTCAATGGCATATCAATACATTAATCTATCTTAGTATTTAGTGAATAACAAATTACTTTTTAAGGAAATATAAAATGATTTTTAGCAATGGAATAGTTATACACTATGTGACATAATAATACGTAATGTTAACTTGTAATTAAAAACAGTCTTATACACTTATATCCAAATATAATCTTAAACCTCTTATCGGAATATCAGAATAATGATCTTCTAGGAAAATAGATAGTAATGAAATGTAAAAATTTGGTATTCATGAAGTAATATAAAACGATACTGTTGAACACAACATTTTAGTATAGTTAGAAAGCACGGAATTATATAATGTGTTACACAGTATCGCTTTGTATACATTGCTGAAAAGCATCCAAAGTCGACATAGGTGTCATTCTGTGGGCGGAAACACAGTCTTACTGCTTACATAATGTATAAGAAAATGAATTGATCAAAATCTTTTATTTCTTCTTTTTCTGTAAAATAAAAGTCTGATTGGTTGATTTTCTTATGCTTCATGCATTATGTTATACAAAAATTTATGCTCCAGTCTTTATTATTTATTGAATATGAAAAAGGATAGAACAATATTTGTGTCGACTACAATTCCTAAAAGAAAAATAGCTAAAGATGAAATGATACTTGTGTCACTAAACGGAAGGACCTATTCTCTTTTCAACTAAATTTCTTATACTATTCATTTTTCTTCCTTTTCTTTCCAATAAGGATAAAAAAGAAGGAAAACAAAAGATACAAGAAATTCAACTAAAAAGAACACAGATCAATAGTGCTATTATATATTCAATTTATGACTACTATAACATTTTTTGTTATACTACTATATATTTTTCTCAAATTAATATAATATTTATTAAAACTGTTAACAATATTTCATATATCCTCTCTATAAAATATCAACAATTATATTAATTTTTTACACAAGTATATATAATAATAATTATACATAATCATAATAAAAAAAAGTGCTAATTTCATTAAAAAAAAAAAAATTTCAAGTAACGTCGTGAATAACGAGTATCCAACAGCACACAGCTGATGCAACGAGTTGTCATCGACAGGCAATATAATTTACGAAGATCCGTGTCCTCGGCATGCCACAGAAATTCCCGTTCGCCGGATCGATCGACGAATTCTTTGCGGAAAGTTGCATCATCGCGCGCGAGAGGCGAGGGTCCCCTCGTGGCGCGTATCCTAACCTCCAAATCCGTTCGCTTACGTAATCGCGCGCGCGACTTTACACAGAAAGTGCGGAAAATTGGCGTGAAAAAGGCATCGTACTGGATCGTTCGAGTTCCTTGGCGGCCGCAGCGGCTCGTTCCAACGCGCTCGAGTCAAATCTATACGCTTCCATACTGCTGCCGATCCTGGGTGGCAAACCGCCACCGCCACCGCCGCTGCCGCTACCGCTGCCGCCTCCGCCGTCGCCTGCCGGTGGTGGCGGCTGCACGAAATGCGTGAAGTCCTGCGGCGGTTGTGAATTACGATAGCCGAATAACCACGACATTGTTTCTACGGCCGACCGGCGTGCTCCGAACAAAAGGTTACACTTGACGCGTCTCGGTAGTCGGCACGCGTGTTTCGGAGCCTGTCTTGTCACATGTACGATACTCCAATTGCAGCGAGACGAATGAATGCATTGCGAATGCGCAGGCTTTCAACACGATGAGTTTCGGAATATGCAATCGATGCGTTCATAAAGTCTTGTGTTGATGATGCTTGAAATAATTTCGATATTTCGGATGGAGAAAGAATTGATTTGGTTAATTGGCGAAGCGCTATCAGTATCCTACAACCAATTTGCAAAATGGAAATTCGTAGAGAATTCAGATATTCTATTTAAATCAAATTTGGATTAAAGTTAGGCTGCGATCGATTTGGACGCTCACGCGCTTTAAGCGTTTGTAATAATTATTCTTTATTGTCCATATCATTCATTAGATGTAAAATAAGAATAGAAGTATTAAAAAGCGTCCAAATCGATCGCAGCTCTAGAAACATATAAAAAATTAAGACCTGGGTATCAATCATAGGATGGGAAGTGAAAAATTTCACCATTAATTTCAATGGTAAAAATTTTCATTTTTCACTTTTTATCCTAGGGATAAAGTTTCATGATTGATACCTTTGGCTGCGTTCAGTGGACTCAACAGTTGAGTGAGCGCTCGCTGTTATTGGTATATTCTTTTAGATCATCCAATCAACATTTTAAATCTGGAAGAATACATCAATAGCAGCGGACGCTCATTCAACTATTGAGTCGCAGTTCAACTGTTGAACGCAACCATTAAGATTTAAGTAATAAGCAAATCGGCCAATCACAGTAGAGAATATAAAGTCCTCTATTGTGGTTGGTCAATTTGTTTACTGTTTACGTTTTATTGCCTTAAAGTGCATTCAAATTATAATAATCTAAATGCACCTTTACGTTTTTTTATAAGTTTGTTTTTTGTTCCTGCACTAGACTGTTCTAGAACTCTCTTTCTCGATTTTTTAATAGTATGTACATACAGCCAGTACAGCCGATCACAGAAAGATTGCAACACTTTTTTTTCGATGGATTTCGGAATGCAGCTTGCTCACAGCGATTGGTTCTTATTTATGGATCCACAAATAAGAACCGCTTTGTGAGCAAATTGCATTCCGAAAAAAAGTATTGCAACTTTTCTGTTATACCTACGGCTGTATCTCGTCTCAGTGAGCGCGTTCAAGTTAACAAAGCAGTTAGTTCACTCGCCGAGCAAATGAACATAATTGGTTATTACTTATAAATCCAGCCAATCACATACAGTCGCTCAATAAGCATGCTCAGCCGCTGTGTCAACTTGACAACGCGCCCAATGATTCAACTCTCGGCGTTTCCCGCGCCCGCCAATCGTAACACGTCAAAGCTTCGAGGCCGTCATATATCGATATATATCGATGATCTCACCGTTCGCGGCAACGTTCCGACGGCTGCGGTGAGTGTGCTCTTTTCAAACATGGGGAGGTTATCCGCTTGAGGCAGTACTATGTGGGATTTCGGTAACCGTGGTGCCGTGGTGTTGATAAGTGTGACGTGCGGGTGTATACTGGTATATAACGCCTGGGGCGCTATCCTGGCGCTGGCGTTCACGCTGCTCCTGGTGGTATATGCGTGCTACTCCCTGCTCGCCAACGATAGTTTGATATCGCCGCACGCGTATCACGTTCTCGGTTACCTGCGGGAGGCTGTCTACGAGCTCGGCGCAGCGCTTCGCGTTGTTCACGGCCACAGTACCGGTTACGTGCGTAAGCTCTGGCATAGTGCGAGCCGTTATTACCGCGAGCGTTTTCCTCCATTCAGGATGGATAGACGACGCCCGAGCAATTATCAACTCAGCAGCGACTTATACACTGCCGCTGTCAAACGCGGTGAGTCGTCGCCGTTGACGTCGTCATTGTCATCGTCATCATCGTCGTCCAAATTTGGCTTGATCGATCAATTGAGCCCGATCCCGTGCGTTTCTTACCGTACGCGCGTCAATGATATGCTCGGAATGGATAATAGATTGTATCATGCCGGTGATTACGATTATACGCCGCATCAACAACAGCAATCCACTTATGGCAGCAAGCATACCTCCACGCCGGTTTTAAAACCTGGCAGCAGAGAAGAGAATCCCAGGAATGGTGATGTCAATCTGATTTCGCAGTCACGCGAGATATCCTCCAAGAAGACTCTACCCCTGTATGCACAAAATCATTCACTAAGCCGTGGAGAAAATATCACACAATTCAGTCCTGAAGGTTCTCCATGGGGCATGAGTATCAGTCCCAAGATGCACCCTAGATGGGTTAAAACAGTCCAGACAGTTGCCGGACCATTATTAGCATCGACGAGATACAATATCGATCCTAAGTAAATTTATACTTGTGAATATATCATTTAACTATGTGTATTTTTCTTTTTTATTCTAATATATATATTTTGATTATCTCTATTTGTAGAATTATAACAAATCCTATATATATTTCTATATATTGAGCACTATAAGTTTGATTTTTACTGTTGTACTAAGATCCTATTTCATCAATGTAAAATTAACTTTAATCTCGGTTTAATTTATTTTTTATCTTTTCCTATTTCTAAGAATTAAAAAAAGATAAATAGTAAGTTGAAATAGGATTAAAGTTAATCTTACATATAAATGGAATCAGTATTTTCTAGAATTTTCTAGAATTTTCCTTCTTCCATTCATTATATTTCAAACATATACCTATTTTACTTTAAATGCAAAAAGCTCAATAATTAAATATACTAGTTTAGTTATAAAAATATATCTTATGTATATCTTTATTACTGTACTGGTTTCTTTTTTTTTCAAATGCAGGGTATACACAGACGTATCATCCCCGGGTCTTACAACAAGGCTAACCAAGTATGCTACGGAAGCAAAAAATAAATTAACTCATCAATCTCAATATGGCACTGGGCAATTTCCAAAAGTTAATCTCCATGCAAATCCGATTCCTCTGTTGAATGCAAAATTGACGAAGATGAGAATGCCTGTAACAGTCAGAGTGGCACCACCAGATATAACGAAATACTCTCCACCTGAAAAGCAAAAGATTCTATCTAATATTTGTCACATGGAGAACAGATCACCCACGAGTGTTGTTCAAGTCTTACGAGAGATATCGTTGAAACGACACGCATCGACAGAAGATGTTAGCATTGATGTCGCTAAGAAGCAGAGAACAGAATTCTTCAATGAGGAGCGAGAAACAATTCTAGAGGAAAACAAGCAAAAACGAAGTAGAGATGAGTCATCTAAATCAGATGAGGATCTTTCACCCCAAAATAAATCTATCAGACCTGCCAAACGTACAAAGACACGATCCTGTTTTGACATTATAAACTCTTTGAGTTCCAGCGCCCAAGTTGCTGGTGGAGTTAAAAGAAAAGCAGGTAGGTATCAATTTTTATATTATTATGTATTGGATTATTTGACGCATAAATTTTTTAATGATAATGTGTTTCTACAGTTGATTTCTCACGTAGTGGTACACCTGACTTCGAAAAGCACTTCAAGTCTCTGGAAAGCGCACGGTCTACTAGCTCTCCTACTGTGTCACAATCTCACAATTTAGACAATAGTAAATCTGATCTTAATGAATATTTAAAAAATCCTGGGACTCTTAATTCTAAGAAAACAGAGGAATTTCCTCTAGTAAAAGGAATATTGAAATCATCTAGTAAAGAATTGAAGCTCAATTTGGATAAAATGGCACCTGTTCATAAAAACGCAAAAAATACCAATGAAACTGATACTACTAAATCTCTCACACCGACAAAACCTGTTAAATTGACAGATAAATTATTTATGAAAGCTGAACCCGAACGGAACGAACAATTGAAATCACTTGTGGAGGAACCGAGTAATATAAAAGTCAAATTCGCGACAGACAACGTGGAAGAAATAAAAAAAGAGGATATACGAAATATGAGGCAAAACAGTATGAAAGCCAGACTTCAAAGTATGTTTGATGCAATATCAGGAAAAGGTAAATATATAATATTATATATCAAGTTGAATAAAATAACGTGGTTTATTATTCTTACTAATTTATTAAAAGGATAAATAAACATTTTATTTTTCTTTATATATCTTTTTCTTTTGTTTTATCTTATATAATTAATTTTACAATATTTGCATTTTCAGCAGAGAATAAAATCAATCCGGATGTCGTAATTCAAGCAGATGACGTTAATACTGTTATACCTTCAGTCACACACCCGGTCAGTTGCGCAACTCTCAATTCCTCGACAACTACAACAAACGTAAATACTACACCGCTGTCTACCGCGGCCATTATACCAAGCGGTTTCTCTTCACCAAGACCCAGTGTGAAAATCGAAACGAAGCCGGATACGACTTTCAGTTTACCGAAAACCACGTCGCCAGCGCAATTGAATGTGCCAGCAATAAGTATTCTCAAGACAAAAGAAACGAATTCGATCGTCAAGACGAATGGAATTGCCGAGCAAAAGAAAGTTGTGTCATTCGCGCCCGAAGTTACGAAAGCGGAGTCTTTAGAAAAAGTCGTATCTTCGACTCCCAGTACGACAGCACCAACCTTTAGTCACATTAAACCAATTATAGAAGCACCAGCTACAACATCGAATAATAATTTGCCGAATTTTAGCACTGGTTCATACAGTAGCAACATCTCACCAGCTTCATCAAAATCTACTAATTTCTTGATAGTTAATAAAGCACTATCGAGTTCAGCATTCGCACCGATTAATCCTAGCACTACGGCTCAAGAAAAAATTGAAACTAATAATGCCGTTACTACAAGTGCTGTCATTAGTTCGTCTACCACTGGGAATACTCAGACTACTTCTCTTTTTACTTTTGGTAGCAACAAACCCATCTCATCTCCTGTGACGTCCGCTCAAGTTATTGTACCAAATTTGTCGTCTCAGTCCCCCGGGACGATATTACCAGTCAATACAACTACTGCAACTAGCATCACCGGTTTTAACGTCGTAAATAGTAGCACATCGAATAGCGTTGTGACAAAGCCTGCAAGCGCACCTTTATTCAATTTTGGAAGCAACAATACTACTTTGCAATCTTCGAAGTCAGATAATTTCATATTTGGTC